AGGGAATTGTCTTGATTGTTAATTGACAGAGGAAGACCTAGTCCACTGTGAGTGGTACCATTGTGTGATTTTGGGCTCTTTCTGGTGTAAAAATAAAGAGTGCTAATTGAGAACCAATGAGCAGCCAAACAAAGAAGGATCATACATTTGTTTTCTCTCTTGACTGTCTTTGTGCTGCTTTAAGTTCCTGATTTGACTTCCCTGCAGTGGTGGGTTTTGTCCTGGAACTGTAACCTTTTCCTCCAGGTTACTTTTCATCAGAATGTTTATCACAGCAACAGAAAAGAAGCTGGAGTATTCACTGTGGTGGTTACTTTTGTAGTGTACTCTATTTAGGCTACCTTCTTGTTCATTAATGTTTTCTTCTTTCCCTAGTAGTTCTTGAATCTTGGTCTTACAGAAGAGCCTCATTTAAGAAAAGAACAGTTTTGATGTAGGAAATTAAGTCTATCCTTGTTTTTCCTCTGCAGCTGTCATTACAGAAACAGTTAAGGAAATCAAGACAGTGTTTTAAAAAATAATTTATTCGGCTGGAGAGATGCCTCAGAGGTTAAGAACACTGGCTAGTCTTCCGACAGGTCCTGAGTTCAATTCCCAGCAACCACTTGGCGGCTCACAACCATCCATAGTGAGATCTGGTGTCCTCTTTTGGCGCGTAGGCAGAACACTGTATAAGTAATTAATAAATCTTAAAAAAAAAAAAAAGTAAAAAAATCAAGTGTTTCCTTTGTCCTTGCTTTTTTTAAAAAAATAATTTATTCAATTTAATTTTATGTGCATTAGTGTGAAGGTGTCAGATCCCTTGGAATTGAGGTTATATATAGACAGTTTTGAGCTGCTGTATGGGTACTGGGAATTGAACCTGGGTCCTTTGGAAGAACAGACTGTGCTCTTAACTACTAAGCCATCTCCAGCCCCTCAAGATAGTTTTTAAAAATTAATTTTGATTTTGCTGTTTCCTGAGATCACATTATACTTGGGATGGAAAATATTTGATTAAGGATGACTGCAGATATTAAAGTATTTCTATTTTCAGCATATCTTTTACATTACTTTCTCAGTATTTTAGGTTCCTTGTTTTACTCACTTTTGAAACAAATAAAAGATTACAACTGATGTGGTTCTTATTTGCTTCAAAAGTGAGTGAAACAGGAATCTAAAATACTGGTAAAGTAACATAGAAGATGCTGGAAATACAAATACTTTTATATTTGATCAGTTGTAAGGATAACAGTTGTATATGTTGCATTTGTATAAGCATTTTTACACTGTCCTTGTTACTAAAAATGTGTGATAAATCCTAAAACGAACATATTGAGGTCTTGGGTTAAACCAAAAAAAACCTTTAAATATGTTTTATTGTTTAAATATGTTTACTAAGTGTGATGGCTCATAGCTATAATCCTAATACATTGGGTCTGAAGCAAGAAAATTGCTGTGAGGTCAGGCCTGCCTGAACTACAGAGTGAGACAGTGTTTATTTTCATTTAAGATTTTTTTTGTATGGTTTACTTGATCATATTCTTTCTCCTCTCCTAATTCCCCCGAGATCTTCCCCATCTTTCTATTAACCTAGCTTGACAAATACACATTCTCTCAAAGAAAAATAAATAAAACAACCCAATGAGACAAAACAAAAATAAACTAAACTGAAAAGCGCGCGCGCACGCGCACACACACACACACACACACAATTGATTCCTCTTTGTGTTGGTCAGCTACTCCTGGGCATGGGGACTGCCATGGAGTGTTGATTATATACCCAGTGTCACCCTGGGGGACAAAACTGATTTTCCCTTTCCCAGCAGTTACCAGTAGACAATGGTTTCTGGTTACCTGTTGTAACTCTGTGTTCACTTCTTTGTGCTGGGAGTTCCTGGTTTCCGCTTTTTCAGGTTTTGTACTGTGAGTTCGCGTGTGTATTATCCCTGCTGAATCTGTAAAACAGTTTCTTTGGAGCCATTCACCACCTCTGGTTCTTAAACTATTTGTGCATTTTTCATGTAGATCCTTGAGTCTTGAGAGGAGGGCTTTGGTGAAGACATTCCATGTAGAGTTGCATACTCTAAGCCTCTCCTTTGCATACTCTGGATTTCGTCTGTAGTTCTCATCTGCTGCAAGAAGAAGCTTTTCTGATGAGAGGTGATCTAAATACAATACAGCAATTTGTCATTAGGAGTCGTTATTGCTACACTCCTTTGTCACAGTGGTTCTCAGTCTTCTTAATGCTGTGATCCCTTAACACAGTTCCTCAGGTTGTGATGACCCTCAACCATAAAATTATTTTTGTTGCTACTTCATAACTGTAATTTCCTGCTGTTGTGAACTGTAAATGTTGGATATTATGGGTTAGTGGAGTCAGGTTTCACATATTGAGTGATTGGCAATTTCTTTTTTTTTTTTTTTTAAAGGTTTATTTATTACTCATACAACATTTGCCTGCACACCAGATCTTACTATAGATGTTTATGAGCCACCAGGTGGTTGCTGGGAATTGAACTTAGGACCTTTGGAAGAAGAATGAGTGTTCTTAACCTCTGAGCCATCTCTCCAGCCCTGATTAGCAATTTCTGTTTTTACTTTCAACCTTTTTTTCTTCACATTCACTTCAGTAATTTGGCACTGACTTGATGCTTGCGATTTGTGATGAATAAAACATCAGTTTTTTTGTCTGTTGGGTAATAATTAATGTAACATTCCCTAGGAAGACAGACATCAAAAAGTAAGTTGAAGTTTGAGATGTTTAGATAATCTCACTATAAAGTGGCGAGCTATCATGTAAATGTAATGTTACTGTTGACTATTTTGTGAGCTGAAAGGCAAAGGTTACACTAAAACAAAGTTACTGGTTAGTTGTTTTATTTGATGTTTTTTTTTTTTAAATGGGATCTTGCTCTGCAGTCCAGGGTGGCATAGTTTGTGATTCTCCTGCCTCTGTGTCTTGAGTATTGTGATCATAGGCATATTACCATATCCAGGCTGATATATATTTTTTTAATTTTAATTTAATTTTTTTTTTAATTTTATTTTTCTTATTAGTTACATTTTGTTAACTCTGTGTCCCAGCTGTATCCCACTCCCTCATTCCCTCCCCAACCCCTCACTCCCTCCCTGGTCTCCTCCCTGCCCCTTTCCAAGTCCACTGATAGGGGAGGACCTCCTCCCCCTTCATTTGACCCTGTTTTATCAGGTATCTTCAGGGCTGGCTGCAAAGTCCTCCTCTGTGGCCTAACAGGACTGCTCCTCCCCTGGAATTTTTTAATTTTTATAAGACTTCTTTTTATTTGTGTGTAGATGTGTGCGTGTGGCTTACCTGTTAGTGCAGTTGGATACCTGCGTAAGAAGACAGATCCGCTTGAACTGTAGTTACAGTCATTTGTGAGTTCTGCAGCGTGGGTGTTGGGAGCTGAACTCCAGTCCTCCTCAAGAGAGGCAAGCACTCTGAATGTCAGCCTCATCTCTCCAGCACCTAAAATATTTAAAACATACAGTGCTGAACAACTATTTTTTTTTCTTCCTCTCTCCCCTCGGGCCTTAAAGTCTTTATGTAGCAGAGGCTATCCTCAAATTCCTCATTCTACTAGTGCTAGGATTACAAGCACATGCTACCTCTCTGGGGTCCATACCTATAAATTTAAATTATTATTGTGTGTCTACATGTGTGAATGTGCATACATGTGTGTGCTACAGTGTACATGCCACCATGTAGACGTGGAGGTCAAACAACAGCTTGTGGGAATCAGTTCTCCCAGTTCACTATGTGCATCTTGGTCATCAAACTTAGATCCTCAAGCTGGTCACTAGGGGCCTTTAGCCTGCAGAGTCATGTTGTCAGCTATAGCTATTTTCAAAAATTTTATTTATCAGTATTTCATGTGTGTTTCATGTGTGTATGTGAATGTGTCAGGCATGTGTGTTTGGGATCAAAGGACAACTTTTTGAAGTCATCAGTTCTCTTCTGATTTTATGTGGTTTCTGGGGATTGATCTGAGGTTTGGCAGGCTTGAACAAGTGCTTTTCCTACTGAATTATCTCGCCATTTAGCAACAACTAAAAAATATTTATTTTTATTTTCGTGTGTGTATTTGCTTATGTAAATATGTGCCACATGTCTGCCCGTGTCCCTTAACGTCAGCAAGGGGCGTCAGACATCTTGGGGCTGCAGTTACAGT